TGTGTGTGTGTGTGTGTGTGTGTGTGTGTGTGTGTGTGTGTGTCTGGGGCAGTGGACACAATGATTGGGAGAGATGAGAGAGGCTTTTCTTGGAAATGATATTTTGTGTGAATAGGCCAGGCTATTAGAGAGGAAGAGATTGGTTAGTGGAGAGGGGTATTACATGAAGGGCATGTTAAAGAGAATAGAGCATTATTTAATAAAAGTGACATACACAGAAGATGATAGGAAATGATCTCTCCCTTCCTTGTGGTGTTTCTGTTTATTGGTCCATCTAAACAAAGGAACGAAAGAAACTAGTGACACCTGCCTCTGACCTTTCAGTCTTTCACACAATACCTTGTTTCTGTGTGTGTGAAGAGGTAAAACTGTGTATAGGGTGTGTTGAGTTTTACATTGTAGTGAGAACATACTGAAGACGGATGGACAAACGTATGAATGGTTGCTGCTGGATGGATGAATGAACGGAAAGTTGAATGAAGTGAGGTATTGGATGAACATACGGATGGACAGATGCATGGACAAGTCTACCAAGTCTGCTAAAAAAAAATGCTCAAGTTCTGCCATGACAAGAAGAAAACGTGTGTGTTTTTTCTCTGTCTTTGTCTGTTTGTCAGTGAGGGTGATTGGTGGGACGCCCATTGTAGTGAGAACATACTGAAGACGGATGGACAAACGAATGAATGGTTGCTGCTGGATGGATGAATGAACGGAAAGTTGAATGAAGTGAGGTATTGGATGAACATACGGATGGACAGATGCATGGACAAGTCTACCAAGTCTGCTAAAAAAAAATGCTCAAGTTCTGCCATGACAAGAAGAAAACGTGTGTGTTTTTTCTCTGTCTTTGTCTGTTTGTCAGTGAGGGTGATTGGTGGGACGCCCGATCTCTCACTACAGGAGGAACCGGCTACATTCCCAGCAATTATGTCGCCCCCGTGGACTCAATCCAGGCTGAGGAGTAAGTATTGGATGATTTTTATGTGTGTGTGTGTGTGTGTTAATCTGAAATAACTGCCTGTGTTAAGGGTGGGGGTAAAGTGATGTAATTGTAATCACTCCTACTTTAACCCATAGATTTCTCAGCAGGATGCATGACAAACCACGACCCACTCTGAATCCAGATACAGTCGCAGTACAGGGTGGTTCTTGACTGTTATTGCTAAGCAACATTTGTGTTGTGGTCCCACTTTATATTAAGTGTCCCTAATACCTGTGTACTTGCATAGTAACTAGATGTGTACGTTACATGTGTGTAGTTACAGAAATATTACAGCTCTAGATACTATGTACCAATGTGTACTTACACTGTACGTACACATCTAGTTACTATGTAAGTAGTACACAGGTATTAGGGCCACTTAATATAAAGTGGGACCGTGTTGTTGTTTGGGACAAATTACAAAGGCACTTCCCAAAAAGCATAACCATATCTGAAGCCTGAATGTGCGAAAATTAGAAACTGCAGGAAAATGTAATGGAAAAAAAAAAGTTTTATTGTCTATTGTCAGTAGTGTAGAGATGTTTAACACAAAAATCTCACACAGAAATCACTTTCAAATCAAGCAGCTTTCGGTCAGGTGGCAAATTCACATGACCAATGAAAATGAGTGCAATCTGCACTGGAAACTTTTTGGCCCTCATTCAGTACTCCCAAGCAAACTGATTCTTATTAGAATGATTGGATTTTTGATGATTGAATGATTGGATTGGATGCCCAAATAGAAACCAAATGAAATTGCAAAAATATGTTTTAGTCACTCCCCCTCTTTTGTTGTCCTAACAAACATGTAGCCTCACCCAGTGGAAGAGACCACCATTGGTTGGGCTAAATGTTGACATGTCAGACTGAAAACTATTCTTCAGGAAATGTTTTAACACACACACACACACACACACACACAAACATGAAAAAATATGCTTACACAGCTTAAGTTAGTTAAATTTCAATCTTTCAGACACAAATTTAAAACAGAGCAGGAACATTTCTGCTCTGAACGAAACGTTTAATTATGGGGTTTCTCCTGTGATTTTCCTAAGTTACACTATGTATTAATGATATCAGATTTTTTCCGTTTCATTTTCGAAAGCTAGATTAATGTCAGCTGCTGGCTTAGTCTAACATGTGTAACTTTAACCAGAAGGAGATGTTTGAGTGATGCAAGTTTGCAGATGCTTTCGGCATTTTTCTGATGTTATTTGTAAGGCCCCTCAAATTGCATGTTTACATATACAGCTGTAAAAACGTTTCCCAGCCATCCCTTCTTTGTGATCAAGTTTACATATGTTTCTAGATATCGTTGTAATGTTATGACTAACATTAATATGGTACATGTTCAGAAATGCATTCAATCTGTCATATAAACAGACTGATCCAAGCAGGTCTGGTTTAATTAACAGTATCAAGAAAATGCAGACTTGATAAAGGCCTTCTTCCTCTTTCTCTGTCTCTCAGCTGGTATTTTGGAAAGTTGGGCCGTAAGGATGCAGAAAGGCAGCTTCTTTCCACAGGGAACCCGCGTGGCACCTACCTGATCCGTGAGAGTGAAACCACTAAAGGTAATAAACAGCACTTATGGTACTACATCATTAACTGGGTTATACAAAAGATCACTGCACTACACAACAGCATACTATCTACTGTGATTCATGAAGAGTTTAATAATTCTGATTCCAGTTACGATTCTAAGGACAGTTCACCCAGAAATGAAAATCTGTCATCATTTAGCCACCTTTATTTCTTAATGTTGATTTTCATTTTATTTTTTGTCCATACAGTGAAGGTCAGTGGGGTCCTGTGTTGATTTGGACTTTCACTGTATGGCCATAAACAGTTTAAACTACTTAAACTACACTGCACAGTATTAGTGCACTACAACAGCCCTTCTGTTTTGTGTCTGTGTGGCAGGTGCCTTCTCTTTGTCTATCCGTGACTGGGACGATGTGAAGGGGGACCACGTGAAACATTATAAAATCCGTAAACTGGACAGTGGAGGATATTACATCACCACTAGAGCTCAGTTTGAGACCCTTCAACAGCTGGTCCAGCATTACATGGGTAACACGCATAGACACGCTTCTCATTCCACAGACCCAGTGCACAGAACTCTCATATCTCATAGCTGCAGATCTGACATGCAAAGTTATTCAAAGTAATTATAGTTTTAACTTAGCTGTCTGTTAGAGAGGCATGGTTATATCCCATAATGCCATTCACAGTGCTTTTGCAGCTCTCTACAGGAGGCGGCACTGCTCCAGTCAGTCAGAAAACCTCTTCTGAATAGCTGTCTCTCTCTCTCTCTCTCTCTCTCTGTCTCTCTCTGTCTCTCTCAGTAGGATGTAATTTGTCTATGCTCCAGTTAACATATTGACTGTTAATGCATCTAGAATGAGTCATATGGATTTTAGATAGCGTGTGCAGTTTGCTTCTTCCATGACCTCCCATACTGAGCCTAGAGAACAAACATACACACAGATACTCATAATAATACATCATCAGGATGAACTTAACTGTGTGTCAGCGTCAATGTCTGTGTTGATGCTACTCTGAATTGGCCATGTTTGCTTTAGCTTAACACTTTCTCATTGTTGACTGCCTTCACTTTCAGCAGCAGAGCTTTGTGTTTGTCTTTGTAATGCGCCCTGTTACGGCAGTGGTCCAAACCTTAAAGCAATTCCACTGCCTACCCCTGTCCCTCTGGTCTCCTTTCACATTGTATTATTTGGCGCATCTGTATCATAAATGTGAAAAGTAGCGTCAGCTGTTTGCAACTGTAGCTAGGGTGAAAATCAATTCAAGAAATGCATCAGGACTCTTTCTCAAATTATTCTGTATTGATCCACAAAACTATATGATCAGAATGTAAAATGATTAATAATAATGTTTTATTTTTTGAAAAGTCATATGCAGGACAAAATATCACATATACAGATATGTGCCATGCAGTGTTGCAAACAGCTCAGAGGCAGGCGGTGATCATCTGCAGTGGCATATATAGCTTAAAAATGTGCACTTACAAATTCTATTTGCAACAAATTTTAAGGTCGCTTTGATGCGGCTTTTAATTTATACAAAAGCCTCAGAGATCATTATAGGACTGTGCATGCCTATTCTGTTTTTTTATTGGAAACCTATTATAGTGCAGCTTTTCACAGGAGAACCACCAAAGTATCACATGAAACCAAACAGGAGTGAATTACTCACTTAAACTAAAGAAACTAGAATCCATAATCCAATTGAATCAATTGAGCAGTTTAGTCCAAGTCTTCTGAAATGACACAGTTGCGTTATATGGCTGCGTTTACATTGCAACAATGGATATTGACCAGCTTACATCTCCTTTTAAAATTGATCCATATCCGATATCTGCATTTACACTACACTTGGCGAAACGACCCAGGGTAGATGTACTAACAGTTGCCAGGTCTGCGAAACTAAACCAGCTCAACTGCCATTTTTAAAATGATAGAGACAAAATGGAGTACAAAAAAATAAAAACAAAATAAAATAAAACTAGGCCAATTGCATTTTTATGAGGTTTTCCCCTCTGGCGAGGGTCCCCCTACGTCGACATAGCAAGGGGAGAGATCACGTTAACCCATGGACTAAAAAACAAACCACGGTAGCAGTCAAAAATGAGCCCAATTCTGCAGGAAAACCACGGACTTGGTAACACTGCATCCACCTGAGTCACTTTTTGTATGACGTATGCATTGACAGGGGAATATCCGATCTGTCCGCTTATATGGCAGACACAAATGCACATATCTGATTCATATCAAATTTATTTCCACTTATGAATGAGGCCTGAAACTGATCTGAGAATATCCGAATCCATGTGCTTTTTTTACGCTTACATCTTTGTGGGGCATATCCGATCTATGCCACATGGGAAAAAATCATCAGAATTGGATCACTTGAACTATGTAATGTAAATGCAGCATATGATGAAATGTAAATAAACATTGATCATCACACATACATGGAGCACATCAAATATGGCAAACAAGCTCAAATGTGCTTTCTTGACATGCAAGAACCAGTGAGGGTTGTTCTTACATGTCAGGTAAATAATGCTTGAACTTATACTGCATTCTACATGAGACATATCCCAGAAATCATTTTAAAATGGACTTTAAATCAGGGGTGCTCAATCCTGTTCCCGGAGATCTACCTTCCTGCAAAGTTCAGGCCCAACCCTGATCCAACACAACACACCAACTAATAATGATCTTCAGAAGCACTTGCTAATTACAGACAGGTGTGTTTGATCAGGGTTGAAACTGAACTCTGCAGGCAGATAGATAACCAGGAACAGGATTGAGCACCCTTGCTTTAAATCGAAGTGCTTACCAAAAAAAGAGGAGTCCGTACCAAAAACTCTAGTGTGAAAAACCCTCAGTCTAGAGATCCAATGAATCTGATATCATCATCAAACTTTTATTCCCATGTGTGAGAGGGCTCATGATGTTGATGAGGCCGGATTCATGCTCTGGTTCCTCAAGCTCAGAGCAGATGGCACTCAATGACTGATTCCTGAAATGATGCATCTATTGGTGCCAAGTGTTCTGTTATCTTAGCTTTACAGTCCGGAGTAAACATTGCTTTAGTGTTGTTGGAAAATGCCTCACATTAACCCTTTGTTAAATGTCAAAACATGGCAATAGGCATCTCCTACATTATGGCCAATCAATAAGGGGCAAACAGTCCAGACTGAATGTTTGATTGGTAACCATCACTGTTTTTCAATCAGTTACGAGGTTCTAGTTGTTGTTGTTTCTGTTCAAGGTGCCCATAAGTCTTTGTCACAAAGTAAAAGATTCCATTTTGTGTTTCACAAACAAGTGCAGATTCCACTGAAAAAAAACTGCATCATGGCTCACCATTTGCAGGTGAAACTCTGTACTGCTTCCTTCAGTGCTTCTGATGCTTGTCTTTTCTCTCTCTCTGACTTTGTGTGTATCTGTATGTGTCTGTGTGCACACGCTCAGAGCGGGCAGCGGGGCTTTGCTGTCGTTTGGTCGTCCCTTGCCACAAAGGGATGCCAAGGCTCACTGACCTGTCTGTCAAAACCAAAGATGTGTGGGAGATTCCACGGGAGTCACTCCAACTCATAAAGCGCTTGGGCAACGGCCAGTTCGGGGAGGTTTGGATGGGTATGGCCCGTCCCACAGTGCTTAGCAACAGCCAACCAGGAGTACGTTTCCCAAAAGCATAGTTAACCAACTATGGTCGCAAGTACAAATACAGTTCAATGTAAATGACGGAACCTGCAACCACGGTTGCTTTTGGGAAGCGCACCCCAGAGAGAGAGATGGAGTGAGGTCAAAGTGAGAAGGAGGAGTTACTACAAACGTCTGGATATTTAAGCTTATTTGTTTAAACAAATCTTCCAGGTTCAATATGTTAAGCTCTAACAAAAGCATTTGTGGCATGATGATTGCCAAGTCGACCCTTTGACGACTTTTAAAAAACACACTCTTACAGTGGATGTAAACTGGGCCAATGTGTACATCCATTTCTGGAATATTCAGACATCATGAAGTGACCGACCCTCTTAGAACAACAGGACCACCCTCCTTCTCTCTCATTGCATGTTCCCCCGTCGTCCTGGTAGTTAACCCCTCTACTCCTCCCCCTTTATAGAGAGTGCAGATGGTTTGTGCTTTCAATTAACGGGTGTGTGCATGGTATACATCCCTGATACGGTGGGACTTAGCCATGATTCCTGGGAAATCGTCCGCGAGTCTCTGATGCTGGACAGGAAGCTGGGGGCCGGGTGTTTTGCTGATGTTTGGTGTGGTAAGACAGTTGCCTCCTCTCCCATATTCTCTGACCTCCACACAAACTTAGGTTTTAAATGAAGATTTCAGAGAAGCATTTTCATCTAATCCTGTTTGATACAATATTGGTTGCTCCCCTCATTCTTATGACAATGTTCTGACATCCCTCAACCACCTCAATCGCACCTTTATTAAAGGAGCAGTTCAATCAAAAATGCTTTTGATGTTTATGTATGTATTTATTCATTCATTCATTCATTCATCTATTTAATAATTATTTATGTATTTATTAATTTTTTTTTAATCATAGTTTTTTTTTTTTACATACAGTCTATTAATGGTGACCATGGCTTTCAAATTCCTAGTTGTGAGAAAATCGGATGTTGTCAGTATATTAGATCCAGGAATTAGGTCAAAGTAATAGCAGCCTAATAAAGCTGCTGCTGTCTGTGTTAATCAAACAACAAAAGAAAGAGAAAAAACATCTCGGATTACGAATGTAACCATGGTTCCCTGAGAGGGAACGAGACACTACATCCTCTAATAGACACTATAGGGAATGCCATCAACATAACCGGTGTTTGAAGCACGTGTGAAAACTCCATTGCAGCTCCATGCAGCACGTGACGTCATTAGCGGCACACCCGGAAGTATAAGAGGGCGCCTGTAATGCAAGTCATCAACTTCTTTGTCTGAAGGAGACGTGAAACAGGCAGGCCCTAGGCATGGCAAGGGAACACAGTGTCTCGTTCCCTCTCGGGGAACTAGGGCTGTCAAAAAAATGTTTCGAATTTCAAATAAAAATCCACATTTGAATGCAAAATGTTGCATTCAGATTTTAGGTGTGCACCAGGCAGCTTTATCAGTGGCGCACGAGATGCGATGACGATGTAAGTGTCGTTGTATTA